TTTCTAACTACCGCCACTACTGGTGTTCATAAAATATTTTTATTGTCCGCACGAGCTTAGCTTATTAGTTCAATAGGCAATATTTAAAATTAAAGAAAAAAAAAGTATTTTTAATTGTCCAGTTTTAGGTAATGGGAAAACTTGTTTAAGAAATAATCTATTTTTTATATGTGAATGATATTGTTGATATGTCGAGTACTAATATAGATCCAATTAGAGATTATTGTTTCAATACTATAATTCATATAAATATGCAATTCTTTGGCTCTATTTGTTGGATACCAAATAATAATCAAAATAAAATAAGATTATTATTTTCTGGAAATCTAAGGGAAGGAAAGAAGAGAATTTGGCTAGTGTTTGGTGTTGGATTTTTGCAAGAGTCAAGTGATCACTTTTTTCTTAAAACCTTATTTGCCACCTCCCAAAAATGCTAGGAGCTTCGTGGCCTAGGCTTTCCAGGATAAAACTTGCTTGTGATCCAATGTTTGAGCACCCAAACAAGGAATCCGGCAAACAAGACAAGGTTATGAACACAGTATGGCTAAAGAAAGAGTAGAAGCAGAGAGTTTTTGAGGCTAAAAGATGAACTTTCTTGTTCAGTTTTTCTGTGTGTAAATCTCTACTGCCTCTACCCTCTCTTATATAGGGGTGAAGGATTTAAATAGCTTTTAATTAGGCACTTAAGGGCACCCCTCCACCTTTCTGTAACAGCAACCATCAACATGGGTTTCAATTCAAAATTAAAAATTGGAATTAACTCAAAGAATTAATTCTGTAACAGCAGAGTTGAACACCCAACGGTCACAAAACAGGACAGGTTCGTACAGGCCGAAACTTCCAGTTTCGACCGCCAGGCTGAAACTGGAAGTTTCGGCCATGGTCCCCTCTCAAGTCTCGGCCTAGGAGGCCGAGACATTGGTTTCGGTCCACATGGCCGAAACATGGTAGCAAGGCATAACAGTTTCGGCCCACATGGCAGCAAGGCCGAAGGTTGTTCACTCAGTTTCGGCAGTGTAATTGGAAAATTGATCCCGAATTTTGGCATAACTTAGCCTGCAAAGTCAGTCAATTTCCAGACGACATTCGTGCCCACAAGCTCTCGCTCTCATTTCTAGTTGGAATTTGATTTGCACCCCACCTCTCCCCGCGAGAGAGCCTCTATGCTATACAATTCTACAAGCTCCAAAAGAGCTCTTGTATATAAGGGGGGAAAATCTTCTTTCCAAACCAATGTGGGACAAAAGCTCACTTTTTCCCTTCATTTTCCAACTCAAATGGGTCTACTTTGAGAATCAATATCTCATTCACCCATTATCCGTTTTGAGCGTACAATATATCAATCTCTTCGTCTCACTACGAAGAATCCGAATCCACTTTGACCCGACCCAAATCGGAAGTGGACCCCACTGATAATTGTACCACAAAATAGCCACTTAACATGCCATTTTATGACATTTTAAGCTATTTTTTTCAGCACTATTTGGTATATTTGGATGAAAAACTAAGTAGCTAAAGCTAAATAAGCTAATAAACTAAGTGATTGAAATTAAACTATTTAGTAAAAATAATTGTTGAATAAATTGAAAAGTGTAGAAATACATAAAAGGATAAACTAAGATATTGATCGGGATTTTGATTAATATATAGTAAATTGTATCATTTTTATAAATTGATAAGAATTTTTTTTTTTTTTTTAAAAGTTACAAGTCAATAGCTTATTTTGAAACGCTACTCCACTACTTGGAGAAGCATTATTTCAAAAAAAAAAAAAAAAATCCCCTTAATTTGAGGATTTTCTTTAAAAAAAAATGATAGATATTTAAGAATAATTTTATTTTTTTCTTCATAAATTTGAACCACAAACTTAGGACCCCTCATCACTCTTGCATTGAAAACTAGTGGAGGAGGTTGCAGTTGCTTGCAACAAAGTAAAGTCTAACTTATTTTAAATTGATTGACCAGTTGAGTTGTGCAATGTTACACTAGTTTTCTTTCTTAGTGTTCACCTCTTGATGGGGAAACAAAACTTGTTTTTATTCATTGACTACCCTGAAATCTTGATTTGATCAATTTTACTCCACATTAACAAAAAATTTACTTAATAATTAATTTTCAAAAAAAATGAACCAATCATATATTATTATCAAAAAAGTATTATAAAAGTGAATTAACGAGAGAAAGGTAACATTGCTCGAGATTTAAACTTGAAATTTCGAACTTATAACTTGAAGTCTATATATAGATCATCATGTTATTATTGCTGTTGTTGTTAATTATTACGGAGTAATTAATATTGTTATTATTGTGAGTATTATTTTGTTATTGTTTTCATTTATTACGGAGAGATTATATTGTGGGCTGGCAAGGCAAAAGTCAAATTAAACATGAGTTTTGTACTTGGTAGCACGGCAAATTTCGACGTGTAACTTATTTCACCTCCTGACCTGTCTAGATCCTCCACAATTGTCATTTTCATTTTAGTTATTATTATCACATGGCATTTATGGACAATCTTTTTAACATTTATATTTCTTTTTAATTTAATGATAGAATCTTAAATTATAATTTATCAAATTTAAAAATTATTGCACGTCAAATAACCATCGTATTCGTATTTGTTATTTTATTCAATCTGAAACACGATTAGTTAATCTAAAAGGATATGATAATATTGATTGAAGATTAAGAAAATTGTGTATCATTTGGGGCCTACGTTTGGGAGAATGTCTTTGATTAAGAAAATTGTGTATCAGTTGATATGTCAAAGTGTAATTAAAGAATAAATGCATTTTATAATTTTGTTTGGTGCATTTGTATGTTCGCATGTACTTTTTGAAATAAAACTTGTTCTCATATAAAACCAACTTTTATATGTGTGCAGTGTGTTCTTTAATACAATCTACTTTGATATTTTTTATGGACATTGAAAATGATCGAATATTTTGGTCATATTAAGTAATTGAAAAATCCAAAAAAAAAAAATGTAAATTTTGTCAAATTATCTATTATTTCATTTTTAAACGCGACGGCGCAGAAAGTTGTGACATTAAAAATTTTCATGTATATATATGGGGGGGGGGGGGATATTTTATTTTGAAAATATGTTGAAAACACTTCCCGGTATTGACAAGAATGCCATGCATAAAGAATTCTATGTTTTCATTGAATTATTGCCAACCAATCTTTGAAACTTTGTCTTAATTAATTAAAGTTGCCTTTTTCAACAATACTTTTTTTCCACACTACAAGAGTCAAATCATATTAAACTTAAATCTAGATTTTGCAATTCAAAAATAGTCCCTCATTTCCTTGTTGTGGCCCCTACACTCATGTTATTACGTAGACTTGGTATTTTGATTTGAATTATGGGATTAGGGTTTATAGGGTTTTTCTTCATCCTACTTGTAAGGAGTAAAGATCAGATTTAATTTGAATCCTCTCAATAGGAAGTAGTATCTAGGCAACTTCAACCAAATTTATTCGGTAGTTTACTGAGTAACCACAAGATTTCAAATTTGACTGTTTGTTGAAACTTCTTATTAGCTTAATTTCTTGATTTGAGTATAGACAATTTAGGAGATAACGGCTACGGTTTTTCCATAAATCAAATAGTAGGAAGTATTGCGATTAAAAAGAATTATTATGATATATATATATATATATATATATATATATATAGAGAGAGAGAGAGAGAGAGAGAGAGAGAGAGAATCAGAGAGATCAGGAATAGATGAGATGTCCCTCCCCATCACAATAAGGAATTAAGGATATCCAATCTTGTAATCAAATGACACGCTAGAAGATTGTAATTGGGCCTAGATTCAATAAGTGGGCTTAGAAATTATAAATCAACATTTGAGCCCAAGATCAAATGAATTTTAGCATGAAGCCCAATGCAAACAAATATTGGGCCCAACTCCAAAACCAACAATCGTTATGCCATGGAACCGTGTTCACCATTCATGGTGAACATGGTTCCAACGGTGTTAGTACACCATTATCTTTTTTTTTTTTTTTCTTAATTAATTATGTGACTTTTCTTCTTTATTTTCACATTTCGCGGTTTCACTTTAATTTGAGGTGAGCAATGATATCGGATATTCATAAATTATGAATTCATGCCTGCACATTCACTTTGGAATCATGCCTACACATTCACTTTGGAACCATGAGATTATGAATTTTCTATTATAAGATTATGAATTTTCCGTTATGAGATTATGAATTTTCTGTTATGAAATTATGAATTTTCTATTATGAGATTATGAATCTACATTACATTCATAATCTTATAACAGAAATTTCATAATCTCATAACAGAAAATTCATAATTTAATAAATATTTTACTTTTATGCGATTATGAATTACATTACATTCATAATCTCATAACAGAAAATTCATAATTTGATCAAACACGCGCCGTTAACTCCACATCCGCGAATATTTTTTTTTTCTGCGTAAAAACGACGTTGTTTGGACTTGTGTTCACCATTTACGGTGAACACGTTTCCAGGGCATAATTTGCGCAAAACCAATGAGTTCTCTTCCTAAATTTTAAAAATGAAGTTGCACTCTATGATCTCATGTCATAACTAGATTGCCCATTGTGTCACCATAAATTATAAGATCGCACTTGTGTGAGACGTCTTACGAATCTTTATATGTGAGACATGTCAAGTCGAGTTCATTTTTGCGCTCGTTATGCGCCTCACGCGCAATATTAGGTTTGCTTTGTTTCGTGATGGGACCCACCATGCCTGCAAAAATCAAGTATTTGTATGAGGACCTTGAATCATCTGGCTCCTTTCTCTCTCACATTCATATATGCATTATTACCTCAAAAACCTAAAAAAAAAAATTACTATTGGTGATGCCTTGATCTCATGTCATAACTAGATTGTCCATTGTATCACCGTAAATTATAGGTTCACACTTGTGTGAGACCGTCTTACGTATCTTTATATGTAAGAAATGTCCGATCAAATTAAGTTGGATGAATATAAAAATGTAATACTTATACTGAAAAATATAATTTACATAACAAAATTTGGCAATGCATTAGCACATGCATGATGAATGAATACATCAAAATCATTAAATATCCTAGTCTGCAACCTTGTTGGAATCATGAACTCCATTGCTCTCCAGCAACCTATGCGGCGGAAAGAAGTGGAAATCCATGGCGTTCTCCCCGCTCACATACACAACCCTAAAGATATCATACTTTATGTCCAGCGACATCCCGTCCAGGTACGGCAACACGCTGCTCCGGTAGTCGTCGTTGAGGATGTAGGAGTAGCAGCTCTGCAACGACCGCCACACGAACACCGCGCACACCTTGCTCAGCGCCCGCGACTTCAGGCACGCGCCGCCCTTCGCCCCGTCCATCCGCAGGAACCGGTCCTTGAATATCGCCAGGCACGCGTAGGAGAACCGGTTCAGGTCCACCTCCCGCGTCGAGAACGACAGCGCGTTCATGGACACCGTGTCGCCGGTATAGAACTTCGCCGCCGGCGTCCCGTCCCTGGCTTCTCCGGCGAACGCCTCGTAGAACCCCTGCTCTAAGATTATTGCCATGCTTGATACGCCGCTCAGCATTGAAAGCTGCAATATATACCCATCACCCAAAAAATTATCCAAATCATCAGAAACTGAAAAAGATCGAATTTTGTATGTTTTAGATCAGAGATGTAGTGATAGATAGATTGTATATATGTATATATTGTAAGATTTTTCCTAATAATATATAATTGGTGCAAGTTCACTAGGCTTATTAAGTGGTCTGGTTGGACTGAATAACTGGAAGTTATAATCCTTCTTCCAAAAGGCTGAACCCCAACCCTAAGAGCAGAAGTTATAATTCTAGATTGATGGGATACAGGATGATTGCTATTAGCACATTTAGATGTACTCATATTGATCAGTAGACACCAATACACCATCTAAGGTTCTGGGTTAGGAGGCAAAATATGACTAACGGTCTAAGGTTAAGAGGCAACACAACAAGAACAGGCGGAAGATCTACATAGCTACGCTTCCTCTCTTACACGATCTCTTGTATAGTGTTATTCATTATAGTTAAACTATTTAAATCTAAAAACTTACAAGAGTGGCGCTTAGCAAGTCTCTGTCTTTGTCACTTGATTTCTTAATCCATGCTCCATACCATATAATCTGTACACAATATATAAGATCATCAATTATATTCAAGCTAATATAATAGGTATATATATATAGGCATGAAAATTTACCAGACTGCCATGAATGCTTCTGAAAATAGCACTATGAACACAACCAAGGGTCTCAGTGCTCGAGGAGAAGTGTTTGAGATAATCCACAAGCTGATCAACTATAACTATAGTTGGCCTGAATATGAAGAAGCTGAGATCCAGATTTCTGTCATTGAAAGGTATAAAGCATGCCATTTCTTCCTTCTTCTTCTTCTTCTTCTTCAATCCTCTGCTCTGTGATATGATATACTTTCCTAACACAATTAGATAAGACCAAATAATTGTAAAGATAAGCACATATACATTTATATAATATAATGTTAAGGTGGATGGGCAAAGTTTGATATTCAATGTTCAAAGGACGGAAGGAATAAATTGATCACGTTGGTGGAACATTCTAAATTAGCAGTCTCTGGTTTTGGCCAATAGCATGCAGTCTTACACTTTGACAACCTCAACAATAATATAATATAATATAATGATTAATGATCCGTTAATTGCTATAATAATTTATGTATTACTACATTTTCATACTATTAAGTATTAATTAATGTTTCAATTATGCATTGTTGGGCTGCGGGGAGCTCTCGTGGGTGGTATGTTTTTGGGTTTATTACTAATCCCTATATTATTTGCCTAAATGGTACAACTAAATATATCATAGGTGACTGTATTTGGTAGAAAATGCATGCACACTGGAACCGATTGAAAAACTTATATTAATATATAATTATGCAGATTAATTAAATAATTAATATGGGACCAGCAGGCATAAGAGAAATTTGGATAATACGGAGTATTCTGTTTCTAGAAATAAAAAAATAAATAAAGTGTCTTATTTGGAAGATGGAATGGCCTGGTGGGTGGAGAATAAAACCACCCGTCAGTTAGGCGGAAGCAATGTGAAGAATCAAGGACTAAGAAATGTGTATAAAACTGAAATTATATTAGTATTCTCTCTGTTTCTAATACGTACAGAAACACAGTACATATATATACACAAATACATAACTGTAAGTAACTACCTGTAACTACCCATAACTGACACCTATTCATAAACAGACACAACCCTATAGATAAACCTAACTCTTTAGTTTTCAATAATATCAGAGTTGTTGATCCCCACCAAAACCAGTTTATTATTTTTAAAATTTTAGTATAAAAATATTTAGGAATAATAAATTGTTGTTGTATGTATCATATTAATATTCTACACTCATTACATGCATCAAACAAAAAAAAATAAAATATTTCTTGTATCTAAAAGTCACGAATTCAATTCTTGTCAATATCATTTCGGTCAAACTCGTTACACAAGATATTTTTAGTGTAATTTATTTTTTATGTATGATTTGCGCGCTATTTTACATGAACAGAGTTTACTTAATATACATCTTTAAGTAATAGTTAGGGGTGGACAATTTGGTTCGGTTTACCAGAACCGAACTATGAGGAGATGGCTGCGGCGTGAGGAGTCAAAGCCCGTGTTTTGGCTGGGAACACATGCTCTGGAACTTATATGAGATGGCCATATGTTGGGGACTAGGAGGCGCCATGAATACTTAATAGAGAGTATTCGATTTTTCCACCCTTTATTATTGTCCGGGATGAGGGTGATACTACAATGGTGCACGGGATGTATGTCGTGCCGAGCACAGATTTGTAAGAAGCAAGCTAAGATTATCCCCAACCTTCTCGCCATTTCACCAAATCTCCATCATATTTGGCGTGGAACCTCCTCCAACCTTCTCGCCATTTTATCAAAAAATGGCGCAAGGTGACAGCCACGATTGGTTGTCACGTTTGGTTGCTTTTCCTACTGGGTCCCACCATGTTGCCATGCTCCCAACTCTTGCAGATGCTTCCCAAATTTCTTTCTCCACTCCATCTCTCATCCATATCAGCATTAAATATATTAAAAGTAATGCATTCTCCCCATTTGCTCCCCTAGTGTGGATGCTCTAACAAGTGGTTAAGATCTTCTCTTTGAAATTTTAGATTACTACTTGTCAAACACGTAAAGCTTGAAAGACTCCTATGTGGATGAGTGGATCAGACTCCATTAGACTCCATTAAAATTTAAAATTTATTATTATTATTATTATTATTATTATTATTATTATTATTATTATTATTATTATTATATGAATTGAACTTGAATAGTTAATAGTTAATTAGTTTGTCTGATTATTTGTTCAATTTTAATTTTTTTTTAAAAAACAATCAATATTTTCATTTGGTAAAAAATTAAAAATAAATAATTTTTTTCTTTTAACCAATGTTATGTAAAAAAAAAAGGATATCATTTTTCAACATTTAAAAATACAGTGCTAAATTATATAATTAGGATACAAGTTAAATAAGTCATTCAATTATTTAAGAACAGTCAATGGAAATTAGTAGTATAAATATGTCAGCACTCAGCTGGTGAAGTGTTCTCTTGTTTATTGAGATGTTTTTTTTTTTTTTTTTTTTTTTTTTTGACATTTGCAAAAGTTATTAAAAAATAGAAAAAGAATGCTACCATAGTCCTCTAGAAACATGCATTAAATAATAGGGAAAATGATCAAATAGGCCCTTGAACTTTAGCTTAAAAGTCAATTAGACCCCTAAACTTTTTAAAGGTGCAATTACACCCATCAACAATTCATTTAGGTGCAATGAAGCCCAAAAACAAATTAATGACCTGCTATCACAGGTCATTAGGGTTCAGGCCACCTTCCGGCAAAAAAAAAAAAGTGACTGACGATATTTCTGGTAAAAAAAAAAAAAAAAAAAAAAAAAGTGACCGGCGACTGACGAGCGGTCGTCGGCAGTCACTTTTTTGCCGAAAGTTTCGCCGGTCACTTTTTTTTTTTGCCAGAAATTTCGCTGGAAGGTGGCCTGGACCTTAATGACCTGTGATAGCAAGTCATTAACTTGTTTTTAGAGGATAGTTATGCTGTGCATCCGTATGCACCATGCATGGTGCATACGGATGCCAAAACGACGTCGTTTTATTAAAAAACACGTGTCTCCCCTTTAAAAAATTCAGGTTCGATTCCCAGCAACAACATTATATTGTTCATTCATTCTGGAATTTTAGTTCATAGATTATGGAATTATAGTTCATTGATTATGGAATTATAGTTCATTGATTATGGAATTATAGTTCATCGATTCTAAAATTTTAGTTTATAGATTATGGAATTTTAGTTCATTCATTCTGAAATTTTTAGTTCATAGATTAGATTATGGAATTATAGTTCATCGATTATGAAATTATAGTTCATCGATTATGGAATTATAGTTCATCGATTATGGAATTTTAGTTCATATGTTGTTGCTGGGAATCGAACCTGATTTTTTTTTTTTAAGGGGAGATGCGCGTTTTATTAAAACGACGTCGTTTTTGCATCCGTATGCACCATGCATGGTGCATACGGATGCACAACATAATTTGCCGGACTTCATTGCTAAATGAATTGTTGATGTGTGTAATTGCACATATAAAAAATTTAGGGGTCTAATTGACTTTTAAGTTAAAGTTCAAAGGCCTATTTGACCCTTTTCCCTAAATAATATTAGATGTTTTTTTTTTTTTTTTTTTAAAAAAAATCTTTTTTTTTAATGGAAAAGAGGGGAACCTCGAGAAGGAATAGTGGACACTGGACAGTACAATTCAGAAGGAATCTAGTGGATAGTACAATTCACAGTAGAAATTAAATTTTTTTTTTTTTTTTAAAAAAAAAGTCGATGTATAATAAAAGTCTCCCATTTGACCACAATATTTGTTGCCCATAGCCGCCTGAAGACTATTACGTACATGAAATTTGACTTTGTGTAATGCCTTGATTTAGTATGATATGATCTGATCTCATAAATCATTAAAATTGATACTCGATCTAATTATATATCATGCTATAACCCTCACAATTTTTAAATATTTATTAATCATTCATAAATTCATCGATTTTATAAACTCAATGATTAAAAAAATTATACATGCATCAACGTACTTAGTGATGGAAGAAATTGAAACAACTCCAATTGAATTATTCGAACAATTAACTTAAGAATAGTCGTTATCTTTTAACGATTGAACTCATAACACGTGATTTATTCAAAGGGTACAATTTATAAGAAGATGTGATAGCTTCCCAATTGATAAAGACCATACATACATGGATTTGGACCAACATGCATGTGCTCATCAATTGACAACAATTCTTACATGCACACTTATTTTTATTAGCCTAATCTTTTTATACTTTATTATGACTGAAAAACTCTATTCTATAGCATCAACAGGTGTTATCAAAATTATTTGACATATTTTTCTTTTAAAAAGATTTTGAATCTTTATCTCTTTTGCAAATTAGTATTTTACTCGTGCAATGTATGAAATTAATAAGTGACAACATGTATAATTGATGGACGAAAAGTGCAACTTTCTTTATAATTTAGGAAACACAATTGTAGAACTTCTATTTTATATATTAATTTTGTCAATTTTATGTTTTTTTTTAATTATTTATTTTAACTTATTATGGTTAATTAATATTATATCATAAAATTAAACAAAAAATCCTAATTAATAAATGAATCCTTACAATTCATGTATCTATCTTAGATGTGAAATACTATACTGTTTTGGATAAGTAGAATCCAAAGAAAATAGTACACCCTGTCTGCTTCCATTCAAATGCACAGCACTATTAGAGATGCGAAAAAAAAAAAAAAAATACTACTCCGCCCCGTGAAATGGATTAAACAGAGAATAGTCAACATCTGGCAGCGCTTCTAGAAATCACTCTACGTCCTACGTACTCTTATTACCAAATCAATTTTTCCTCTTTCTTCTCCCCCTTTTTTTGCACATATATCCCTTATTACCCCAGTTTTTTAGTTTGTTTATTTACTTCTCAATTACTTGTCATCTTTAACCCAACAGAATAGATCAAGTGACTAACTTATATAGTTGAAAGGTCACAAATTGACACATTTCATAGTTACGGTGCACCAAGCATGGAATAAACCCTATTGCAAAACAAACCGTTTAGATTAACACCAAAATAATTTCATTTAAGTCATCAAAACATATACATAGAGAACCCAATAATTAAAATGTGTCCAAGACTAGTATCTAAGCATTTCTTGCCTAAGGATTCATTGCATACTCCCAGAAACACAGTACAAACAAGCTAAGGAAAGGTAAGGGAGAACAACCATGTACCAAAATGATATTTCATATATGGGGGTAATATTATATTCATTCTGCAACAGATCAGATTCAAATCAGGCATTGATCAATGCATGATGATTGCAGGGAAAATAATATGGCATTACAGCCCCTCCATGGGGGGAGTAATTGAGCAAATAGAAACACACAAGATACTAGTTAAGCCAGGAAGACATACATACTGGCCTCTCTTCCTGCTACTTCTTTCTTTCTAAATCACGGTTTTGTATCTTGACATCTACTCTAAAATCAAGAGTGGAGATACTAGTACAAGAATGGGTGTGCTATCCTTCATGGTTCACAGTCGATCTGCAAGTAAACTTCAAAAAGGACCATCAGAGATCTTTATGTAACACTTGTTCTATTTTATCAATACACACGAGTAATGTTTTGTAGAAAGTTTAACCAAAATTAACTCCATACATCAATACTTATTTCCTTCCATCAGTCATCACAGGAGACACTTCTTGTGTGATATAGTACTATTTTTCCTTTACACCACTTATCTATTACCTACCTTGCTACCAAACAAAATAGCAACAACATTATTGTCAACAAGAAAATGGAGAACTAACCAGCTTCTATGAAAGATTTCTTTGTGGACAGCCAATTTGATTTAAAGCAAATATGATTGTTTCCAAACATGGTTAATAAATTGATGGAGTAGGGGATACTAATACCATGAAAATTGGAATTTAAGGTTATATTAACCATACTTCTTTCTTCCAAAATTATAGCTTGAACCTAAGAGCATCTTCTTAGATAGTTTTTATTCAGTTTTGTGGAACGATTAGTATCACAATAGAGATTTACCACTACTTTAATGCATTCAGCAGTTGGAAATACTAACATGAAAATGGGAAATTTATAGAAGATTAAGTTATTGAAGAAAAAAGTGAGGCTCACTTTTTAAATGATACCTCTCTATAGGTCAATGGGGACCCTCAACCCATCATATGCCAGCTGAACTTGTATTCCTTCCCTGGAAACAAAAGTATGGAGTAAAGTTTCAATTCAATTGTCATAACTGTGAGAAGAAATTTCAGGAAATTATACCTTTTAGACCATTCCATAAGGAATGCATTGTCTATGTGATGATCAAATTCGTGAGTCATCCCAATTAAAAAAGCCCTCTTTGGGCATAGTCTTTTAATAGTATCAAGGGTCTGAAAAGAGAATTTTTGCATAAATTACAACCATTAGCTTTTAGAGTAGTAAAAATACAAACTAAAGGACTGTAGAAAGTATGTAAACCTGAGGGAAGCACAAGTGAACATTGTGGGAACCCGTCTGCAAAGAGGGACAGGTAGAGTTCAAAGGATTTTAAAAACTGAGAAAATTGGAACTAAGATGAAAAAATTAATTTGTAAAGTCATAATATGGTTGTATGACTTGCCTTATAAAGGCTGTCCAAGATAAGTAGATCCAACTGTTGACCACTATCTTTTGAGATATCTGCAAAATGCATAACAACATTCAACCCCTTATGCATCCTTTATAAGTAGTAATAACTAATAATTCTATCACAATGTAATTATTTTATTATTCCATATTAGATTTTATTCAAGAACTTTTAGGTTCAAGCCTAAGAGCAAGGATGTGAAAAATTACATACTGAAGGACACATAAGAAAATACTCACAAGATTCTGTACTTGGAAGAAAGCGTGAAACATCAGATATATATGCAACTCTATACTTTCCACCAAAAAGAAAGCCCAAGCATACATAGTCTTCCCCATGCATCACCTAGATCAGAAAATAAGCATTGAAAACAAGATAAAAGAAAAACGAAGAGAATCCGCAACAAGGACAATGAAAAGGAGAAAACTAACTGGCAGTGGAACAAATTCTAGTCCTGATGCAACAAATGGCTTTGTACAATCATTTTCAATGATCTGCCAATCAAGTTGTGCTACACGCCTAACTTCCTGGCCAGCCTTGAGTTTTTTCTGAACCAAATAGGGGAATTTCACAGCAAGACTGTTTTACGGGAAAAGAATATCACAATAAGCATCAAGCAAAATGCTCAACTAGGCAATTAAAAGTGAAGTAGGAGTTCACATTTTCATATGTGATATGAGATTTGTTTAATTGATAATATCAATGTCAACAGAAATAAGTGAATGCCACTTTTTACACATTACAGTTTGCTTATTTTCAATAGGAACAAGAAAATTTTAAATATATTTGAAGGAGCACGGAAAGAAAATCAAGAGATTATGATCTTTAATAGAATCTTAAGAAAACTCCAAAATGTTTTCTTCTGCTTTATCTTTTTAAAAAATCTTCTCTTAAGGTGTAAATGTGTAAACAATGCACTTCTGCATATGTATAAGGAGAGTACAATAGAAAATTAAGAATAAATAATGAAAAAAAAAAAAATTCAATCATTGCAAGTTATTAATATGCACTCAATTTTGCACAACCTTTAAAATCTTTTCCTTCTTACTTGGAAGGAGCAGAAGGGATGGCTCATGGTTGGATCCACTCCACCAAGACCCAAGTTGGCTTATTTCTAACCAATGGCATACCTTAATGGTCCAGGGTTTAGGATTATACCTATCCATTGCATACTGATTAAGAAAAACTGGTGTAGGGTCAATGTCATTTGTTGGACTAAACGGTTGAACTGCACGTATATCATCCAAACCAAGAACTGCATCAGCATGTTCATGAGTCAAAACAACCTGGGAATAGAAAAATTGTCAGCTATTTGCATTTTGGTTTCTACTGTCAAAGAATTCATAGATTCTAGTATACTACTGATCTGGGACATTAAGCATTATAAATAATAAAAATGGTTTGTACTCTTTTTAGAAATATCATCAGAAAATGAAAGCAATGATTATATCAAGAAGCTGGTATATCTGTAAACCACTTACCATTGTTCAAGTTTCAACTGCAGCTAACTTGTGTCTTAGTTGGAAACAAAGTGCTCGAGTATGTTACATTAGTATTTCTTACATTGGTAATTGAAAGTATCTTTGATATTTTACAGAGTTTATGTTTTAACATTAGTAACTCTCTTACAGTCTCAACTATAGAGTAATATCTCTTTTTATTATTATTATTTTTCTTGAAATAAACAAACAATAGAATTTATTCTTTGGTAGAAAAATGAAATGTTAGACAATTCAGAAAATTTAGAATCTGTAAATTATAAGAAAAACTTGGGCAGAAGGAATTGAGGTTCAATATGAAAATACAGGTCTTGTTTGTTTTGCAATGTGGAAAGTTACAACCACTGCTTTTTCAAAGTAATCTATTGGGCTAGGTGCACCGTGCACTTTTATCTCCTCATGACAATAGTGATCATCTAATGCCTCCCTTTTCTTTTCTCTATAGATTCCATTAGAATTAGTTTACAAAATCAAAGGAGGCAACAATTGTCCATATGCCAAAAGAGCTGATCTATGCTTTCTCAGCTTCTAAACAATGATGTTTTCTATTTATCTAATGTCAAGGTGTGATTTCCTATTAATGGAGTAGCCTTAAAGTACAAGATACACATACTAAAAGAATAGCACTATCCAACTTTTCGTAGCTTGGCTTAGAGAACATCATATAAATGTTGCCTACAAAACTTGACAATAGCTTAATAGAAGAAGTACTAATGTCTTTAAAGTTAGCTAGTGTTTAGTTCTCTACTCAATATCTTTTCTCAGACATGACAAAAATTAGCTAGTCACATCATAATCTAGGCTAACCTACTGTTGGGTCCACCCAAAAAGAATATCATATCCTTTCCCAGACACAGTCAACATCTTACTGGCAAATGCCAATTGCCCAAGGAGCTGAAGGATTAAGCAATTGGCTGAAGCCTAATAACCAAACAGCAAAGTCCTTGAGGCTCATTAATATATTACTATCACCTAAGGAAGACTCAGTTTGGTATGCTCAGTAAGCCTAGTGCTCAAACTTCATTGGAAACTTAACAAATTAAAGATTCAAACCTGCAACTTTAAGTGATCAGTGTAATATTATATACCGAAAGGTATACATTTGATTTCTTCTTTTTCTAATAATGTTATAGATTTCATCTATCAGTTGCTCCATTTCACTTTTTACCAAAATTTAATGCTCCGTACAGTACATCATCATTCATCAGCAGGTCTCAGACTATTCACTAGTAGTAGTAAGATGGAAACAGTAGAAGCAAAATGAAAAATAGACCATAGAACTCACAGAATCAACACAAGGAATTCTATAACGAGTGAACCAGCGGAGCACTTGTTCCCTGAAAGTCTTGCCAACGTCAATCAGTATATACTTGTGTTCACCATTCCTGGGAGAATAATCTATAAGAAGCGATGTATTGCACCTACAGATCAAATGCACAGTCACCTCATTACCAGCTGCCACAATAAGCCAACATCATAAATAATCATAATCACTTGCATTGCACAAAACATGTCCAGAAAATAGAAATTACGATAAACTAGAGTCGACATTCTCAGATCTATTGCCATTTGCGCCGCAGAATGAAATCGAGAGTAGAGATTACAATGGATTGAAGAAATGACCTGTAATTAGGGTTCTGCTCTGGTGGAACGGAGAGTGACTGGGAGCAGACCTGGCACGGAGGATCAGAGGGGCGGATCAAGCAGAGTGCGTTAGGAACGGCGCTTGAACAGCCGGTGCCGAGGAAGATCAGAGCTGATTGCGGCTCTAGGCCGCCATTCATCCCGGCAACAGCGGCGGTAGCCATTTTGGAGGATCGCCTAATAACCGACAAGAGACAGAGAAAGAGAGAGAGCGCGCGCGCAAGCTGTGAGAAGAGTCCGGAGAGGGAATGTGCGATGTTATATGCTTCGCCGGGAAAGAAAGAAACGGTTTTGACGGTTGTTCATTTTCTTACACGTGAATCGTAATGAGATGAACCTCATGAGTATCGTCCCCCGCGGGCCTAGTCTCGGCGGTAAATCAAATTTCACCCAACTTTATCACTTACGCAGCTCTCTTTTTCTCTTTTTTTTTTTTTTTTTTTTTTTTTTTTAATTAAAAAAAAAAAACAATACCACCACATGTCTCATTCTCATTGGATAATTATAATAATAAATAAATATGTATTACTCTACTTCCAATGATATGTCGGAATAAATAGTAAGTACTGAGTAGTAAAATAAGGTACGCAATAGACCCGTGATCTAATTAATAATGAATAATAATTAATTATAATATTATTTTGTCAAGCACCTTGTGCCTAGATGGTATGTAATGACTTTTTCATATGAGAGGTCATAAGATCGAGCCTCAGTAGAGGATAAAAAAATTACGAGTATTTCCTGGATTTGTAGAAAACAGCGCACTTAGATCTTCGACCTGAATTATGTCTCCCTTGCGAGAGTGTGCGGAGTTACTTGGATTATGTCTCCGGAGTGTCTCCGCACAAGTTACCTGGATTATGTCTCTCTGTCTCCGCACAAGTTACCTGGATTATGTCTCTCTGGGAGTGTCTCCGGTGCCAACTCCAGATCTTCGACCTGAATTATGTCTCTCTGGGAGTGTCTCCGGTGCCAACTTCAAGGCTTTGGTGTGATAATCTTCTCGGGGCTACCTACATGTGTGCCAATTCAATTTTTCATGCCAGAACTAAACACATCGAGATTGACTATCACTTTGTTCGTGACAAAGTATCATGCCAGGACTAAACACATCGAGATTGATTATCACTTTGTTCGTGACAAAGTAGCATTTGGAGATCTTCATGTTCATTTCATCTCGACCAAGGATCAGTTAGTTGATATCTTACGAAGCCCTTGCATGCGCCTCGATTTGCATTTATCAGGGACAAGCTTCAAGTTGCTAGTCACGCCCCTTCGTTTGAGGGAGAGTGTTAAGACTCTAAATCCTAGTTATAGTTAGACTCTAATATATGTGCTTATATTTATCTGCTGTAACACATTACGTTTGTAATTCAAGAATCCTATTCTAATCTTAATACCCTCATTCTTTAATCAAATTATAAGATCAATCCCCTCATTTTATGACCTTTATAAAAATATATATATATTTTAACTCATATGCTACCAAGTAACACAATCTGCTACCAATTCCCAAACATCCTAACTTTTTGTTTACCAGTTGTCTTAAATTGTCAAATTCCTTCTCTACTTATTTCCAAGTACATGTGGGGGTAATTCTAAAACTCACCAATAAACAAACCATTTTCCTGGGCAACATCTAGTGAATTCTTATAGAAGTTCTGGTAATGATTTACATGAAGTTGGCATTACAGCACAGGGCATTTTCTTCATCAAAATAATTATTGTATGCCAAAATTGAAACAGTTAGAAACAATGATCAAATGATTTAGGGAAAAAAAATTCCCCCCTGTATTACAGCAACACTAAAGGAGAAACAAAACAAAATCCGCAATACAGTAATAAAAAGCGTCGTGCCTGAACCTGATTTTTCCTGTCTATTTCGTTCTCGTGATGACTCTTTGAGTCAGTTCTACTAGTGCACGTCTTGACCTTTGAACATCTTCGTCATCGCTCTCTGGGAGAGAATCGATAGCATCTGATGCCAGGTTGGCGTGCTTTGTTGCCAGCTCTCTCGTTCGTTGTATGCCACGACTCTTGCCAAGGTACTCCAGTGCCTAAGACGAAATTTGCAATATACATCCATTTCAGTATCTAGGCAGCCAATCAATATAAAGAAACCGGTTCAATGCACAAAAGGATGATGGAATAATTCTATGCCTGGACCGACCATTGGAAAATGAAAAAACAGCATCCGGTACTCATTAGTTAGGTTATGTTTCTGTTCATAACCACTCTACATAACAAAGACCTTGTAATCTAGTAGCAAAGGACCAGAAAGACTGAAACTCCATATTATCTTTAGTTCAATCCCTTTTTCCCCAATAAAATAACCACAGTTCAACAAAAGGACACGAAGTAGAGAATAAGGATCAAGGTGCTAACATTATAATGTAAAATGCACTTCTTATAAGTTATAGCTAAAACTTACAAGATCCACGTTCCTAGGGTCATCAAATCCCTGATCAACAACGTCACGCAGCTGAGGGTATTCCTCCATTGCAAACAATATTGGAGCAGTTACAATTCCCTGTGAGAATAAAATTTATGGCTAAAACTAGATGTAGCATTATTTCAAAAATAATAGAAACAGAAAATCATAGGGGTTGTATAATCATAAGTATCCATCAACCTCTTAAACCAGCACCCAAAAAAAAGGATCGCTATTTTAGAGTCGAGAACATCAAAGATCAAAACACTACTTTAAAAAATAACTGCAAAAATATAGAGAAATTACATGACGAATATCAGATAATGATCCCTTCCCAAGAGTAGCTGAGGTGCCAGTGAAATCCAGAACATCATCTATTAATTGAAAAGCCAGTCCCTGCACAGAAATTAATTGCACCAGAGCTTGCGATTAAATTTATCCAAAATGTTGAACCTTTTTTTAGAGGCATTTGATAGGTTACAAACCAGATTTTTTCCGTACTCAAATGCCATCACAGAAACTTCTGCAGTTTGGCCAGCCAGAAGGGCAATAGCTTTACAACTATTTGAAATCAGTGATGCAGTCTTATAATATGTCTTCTGCATATAATACTCCATGCTGGGAAAAAGTTTAATCCATTATTATAGCAATCTATTTGCAAATTTAAATACATTGTTTTTCGCTGACAAGGGAGACTATATCAGCAATAGAAGGCATACCTACAACGTTGATCAGAACTAGTTGTCATTTGCATTGTTTCCCCAGTAACAAGGTGCTCGACAACTGTTGCTAGCAATGACACAACCTACAAAGTGAATGAAGAAAGCAAAATTATATGGATTAATATTAGGAATCAAAGGTATAATCAACTAGATACTAAAACAACCCCGTCTGGTAATCTATGTAGAAATTGTAGAATGAACACAATTGAAGTGTTGTGTTGATCATGATATACCTCTGTGTTCTTCAAAGAGGCTAGTGCTACACAAGCTCTGGAAAGCAGAAAGTCTCCAGCCAATACAGCTAACTGCATGATTAGAGGGACAAAAAAGTTCAGAAGATAGTTCTTATTTACTCAACTAGCAACCATCACAGCATCACTAGAAAGAAGTGCAGCAATCAGATAATTTATGTGTATACTCAAGCCAAGAAGGTCTTGTCTCTTTAATCATTCACCAGGAAGAAAAAGTTCTCTACTCTTTTTTTTTTTTTCTGGGTACTCCAAAGGATAAAGCAAACTCAATACTTTCTACATTCAGATAATTCAAAAATATTATAAACCCACTATTTTAATACATTCATGCTAAACTGACATAGATTATAAACACCAATCTAAGAAATTGTACCAAGTCAAATTTTTACATGAATGACACCTTTTAAGTCAAAAAAGGAATCAAATTTGGAAGTGTATACAGATTCTGTACATCTAAAAAAAGAAGAAAAACTGTACATGCATAATGTACCTTATTTCCCATTACAAAGTTCAATGAACCAATCCCACGCCTTGTGTCAGCATCATCCAATACATCATCATGAAGTAGACTAGCAACCTACAAGAGAACAGATGATAAGCATCCAGAAAAGGAGATGAAACAGATACTAAAAGACAACATAAGACTTCCTTGGGTGACAGAGACATAGCAAACAAGTGACAAAGTACCAAATTGAAGTAAAATTAATGTCAATTTGAAGAAGAATACCACTATTCATAAAAGAGCATACTTTGCATATGTGCAAGAAACATTTGAATTTTGAAGCATATCCATGCCTAAGAATTTTAAAGGACTAGCAAAGACCAGTAACAGAGCAATAGTGCACAGTTAGCTCTCTATTAATCAACTATGTCACCATATTATTTGCTAAGCTCTCACTCTAAGTTTGGTCTCTTACTGGTTTTGAGTTGTTTAGCTAGCATAATCTACTACTATACCATACAGTATAGATCTCTATAAGATGCTCTGCAAATGTGCATGAAAAGGAATAAAATGAATACTAACATGGATCATCTCAGTGATCTCAGCTATGCACTGCTGTCTTGTGCGTACTTCTTTGGATGAAAAATCAACAGCTACCTCAGATGGTGATCTTGGTACCGGTACATTTAATGCTGTTGCCATCAACAACACAACCTACAAAATGCATTAGTCTTTAACATTATTCTGACAAGGCAGACCATAGGGAAACAAATATGAGGAAGATAATAATAATGCATTAGTCATGACCTTTATAAACACAAGATGGATAAAAATGATTTGTCAAGTGGTCATATCCTTACATAATACCTCATTTAAATGAGTGAGCATCTTCACAAGTTCAAAAGAAAACAAAAAGTTTAGTGTGGACTACCCACAAGGCAAGGTCTTGATGGAAGATCCTCCTACTCAGGTCACCACCTATCATTCTAATTGTTATAATGACTAATCTTTTTCATCCACTTGAGCTTAATATTATACTAAATCATTTCCTCTATTCTCCCTTTCTTTTGTTTATTTCATTGAATTTCCTTTCACAATATGGAGCAGACATGGCAATCTTGCAGTTCACATCTGACCTAAATCATAGTCCACCTCTGTACAGAAATATCATTTAGAGTTTGTTTGGCCAAGGCTATTGCTTCTTGAGAAAAAGGCTTTAGCATGAAGCTTCTTGAAAAAGATGTTTTCCCCTCTTACTAGGGCTGTTAACGAACCGAACATAAACGAACGGAAGTTGATCGTGTTCGTTTGTTAAGGAATTTGGAGTGTTCGTGTTCGTGTTTGTTTGTTAAGGTTTTTGAAAATCCTGTTCGTGTTCGTTTGTTAAGCGTTTGTTAGTGTTCGTTAACGTTCGCGAACACATTCACGAACGTGTTCGTAAACGTTAACGAACATGTTCACGAGCGTGTTTGTTAACGTTCGTGAACACGTTCGCAAACGTGTTCGTTAACATTAACAAACACGTTCACAAACATGTTCATTAATAAGTACGTTCACGAACATATTCATTTACGTTCATTAACACTTAATAAACAAACACCTGCACATGTTCTTGATCACAATTCGTTCGTGAACAATAAATAATCTACGTTCACGAACAACAATCAAACAAACAACACAACTACAAAACTAATATAATATAATATAATATATATGTTTGTGAACATGTTCACGAACATTATAAAACGAACACAAACGAACTTGTTCACGAACATTATTAAACAAACATAAACGAGCTTGTTCACGAACATTAGTAAACGAACACAAACGAGCTTGTTCACGATCTCTTAGCAAACGAGCTTAAAATTGTTCAAGCTCTGTTCGTTTATTAACCGAGCTCTAAATTTTGTTTGTTAATGTTCGTTTACCTTAACAAACGAACATAAACGAACGCTTACCGAACACGAACACGAGTAGTTTGTCGAAAGCTCTGTTCGCTAACACCCCTACCTCTTACATACCCTTAAAGGACTTCAATATTTCTAGGCTTTCCCCAGCTTCTCCTATTTGGAGTACATGAGTTCCCAAAATAAGCTAATCAAACAGGAAAACCATTGCAGACTGGGAGTGTTTAAGTATCTTCTGATTCTTCGCAGAGCTCAAGAATCAAGAGAACATACAAAAGAAGAATGGAAAATAACCTACTAGTAAAAGTCAGCCATTATTTCAAGAAAAACCATAAGGCTAGGGTGGGTTTCCAGCATGTATACCCTCCTACAGCACCAAAATACTTGGCGCGTTCAAATCTTAAATTATTATATTGCAAGTGACAAATCATACCGTAGGTCGAAGCCTCTTTCCTTCCACCCCCATTCTAAAGAAATACTCAGAAGCTGAAGCAAGCTTTGGCACCTGGATAAACTTGAATTAGATAATAACCTTCTAATAAAATCCAACCAGAGGCATATCGCAGGCTCCAAAATGCATACCTCTGCTATTACCATTGCCCTCAGCTTGTTTGCCACAAGTGATAATTCATCAGCAACAAGTGAAAATGGATCCAATTGCTCCTGGGATAAAGATAACAAGAAAATCATTGCATGGAAATCAATTACCTCAGTGAGAGACAATTGCAAGTAAGGGAGAATATCAAAACCAATCACATAGGAAACGCTGCAACTGAAACTAAGGTGTCAAACAAACACTGCAACTGAAACTAAGGTGCCAAACAAAAAAATAAATAAATAAATAAATTATGGATCCTCTTTCTAAACCATGGTATTTCTGAATCTTAATATGAGCTGTGCAATAAAAAGAATCATAAATACCACTATCCACACCTACAAGATTCGACTTACTAGTTTCTATCATCTGCAGTTATTTCAGGGAAGAATATTACTACCAAAAGCATCAGAGATAATCAGCAGTTATATTTGAAGTATGAAATGACCAATAACCTCGGCTACAGCACTGCTTTGGTGATGAACCTGCTGACCGATACTCTTCACAGCATTAGACACCCAATAATAAATTGCTCTCCTACCCAAAACCTACTGATCACAAAAAGAAAATGAAGAAACAAACGCAAACATTTATAAAACATCAAAGTATTATAATGGTATTCCAATTCATAAAAATGACAGTAATGTAGACTTAAGATGAAGAGATTGAATAATCTAATAGGATTTTTAAGACACGTAAGGGGAGGGAGGGAGTTCCTAGGGCCATATAGGCAAAGCTCCTAAAAGCCTCAAGAATGACAAGGAAATCAAGATAGTGTTACCAGAACCTATAGAATTGCAACATATCAAGGACAATAAGCTCCTTTAAGCTGTTAAGCTCAGACACAAAGACTTCCCAAAGGAAACCAAGATAGTGCAACCAGAGTTACGAATTTTCAACCTATCAATCATGACAACCCCCTTTAGGTGATTAAGCCCAGATGGGAATGGGAAGAGTTCCTAAAGGTCATGTTTAAGGTAAGCACCTTCTTTGCTTAAAAATGTGTTTCAGTAACAAAAGAATCAAAGAATATTGGATTCTCAAGGTTCAATGAAAATGTCTCCCAAGTATAAAGCAGTCTCAAAACCACAAAGCTTTCATCAATTCAAAACTTCCCATGACACAAATGCTTCTGAACTGTATTTGCACTGCAATTGATATTCCTAATTTCAATTCTTTCCAACAGTGAGTTCAGCATATGGTTAGAGCAGTTAAAAATTAGGTGAGCGCTCTCACTGTGAACACAAAGTAGTTATTTTACTACTAACTACTTTCAAGCATCTCCAATTAAATGGTGTCAATTGAATGATTTACTGAAATTAGAAAAACTATCAAGCCCACTAACACTCAAACGTAATTCCCAAAACTACCACCGTATGCTACTACTACTACTACTAGATTTGCTGCCACACTCCATGGCGAAAATAAAAGCATGATCCCAGGCACACTCCAGAAAAAGGTAGCCAAAATAAACATTTGATTTTCTCAAATTAAGGCACCTTCACCTCTATAAAATAGATCATAGGTCCTCGAAGTTCGGAAAGATAAATGATTGTAGCAGCTGGAATAAGTAAACACTCGCTAGAACATCCAAAAAAAAAAAGGAGGAAAATGAAAAAAATAATAATAATAAATAAAGGAAAGCGCCCTTAACCTGTTGGGAAGCGTCAAAGGGGGCGGGGAAGATAGAGGAATTTGTAGGGGAAAACAAGTGATGTCGGTGATGCTGCTGCTGCTCAACGGGCAAGGATAATAGCCATCTAAATCTATTGAAATTGCCTCTGGAAATCCGAGATAGTTCTCTTGAGAGTAACATATCTTCTTCTTCTTCTCCTCCTTTTGCTTCTTATTCTTCTTCTTAGATGTGTAATATACGTATATGTGCGAGCGAGAGAGGGAGGGCTTAGGGCGGCGGTTGAGTCAAAGTAAGGGAGAAGAAGATTAATAGTGATGATTAAAGCGGCGGGCGGCAGGGAGATGAGTTTGGTTTAGAAAATGCAGTTGAATGACGAAGCCAATTCTGGACCTTACGTCCAAACCAAATGCCCCTTTCGCAAGAAAAATTGAGCCGCGTGTACGGGAAGGCGGCGGCGGCGAGGGAAATGGCCAAGCAGATCTTGGTGGCTTGGTCTTTAGGGAAGCATGGCGCGTTGTAGGCTCCTGCAAATCTGGAACTAAAACCGGTGGGTGGGTTGCACCTGGTTCGAACCACTCCGCCTATTCCTAATTCGGTAATTCATATGTCCCGCGGGGCTAGTTCAATTAATTCGACTAATGACTCTAAAGTATTACTTCAGTAATAGTGTAGAGGTTCAATTTTCACTAAAAATTTAGAGATTATTGAGAGATCTTAATCGATTAAAGTTGATGTAGTAAATATCTGGAGTTACAATGAATATGTATAAAGTACAAGTTGATGTAGTAAATATCTGGAGTTACTACGAATACGTATAAAGTACGAGACAGGATCGAGTTATGGCCCTTGTGTGGTGATTTGCTTGTTGGTTTAATGGGTTAAGCTCCGGATTAGGCGTGAGGCCAAAGGTTCCCGAGCTAAATAAGACTATACAGAAGCGCCGGTCCTGGTCATGTCAAGCTAGTGCGCCCGCACAAGGGCCCCAATTTTTGGGGGCCCAATTTGTTTTTTTTTTTTTTTTAAATAGTATAGATATAATTTATTATTTTTTATACTTGATAATTATTTTTTTGAATTCATAAATTTGTCTTAATTGTAATTGAAAATAAAATTTTAGAATGAATTGACATCAAAATTTTGTATTTAAATACGAACGAAAAATGGCACTTTTAAATTACGGAGTAATTTTTAAATTGTACTCTTTCTTTGTTAAATTTTTATACATTATATTTGGACGAAAAAAATTTAATTACATTTTTATTTTTGTTATATAATATACAATAACTTGGAGTCCAAATGGATTTGAACTAAATTACTTCAGTTATAGAGATTTTCTAAATCTTCTAGACTTCTATCTTCATTTTCAGAGATCTTTTGAGATTATGTTTCTTACCTTTATAAATAGAAATCTCTATCATTATAGCGAAATTTAATTATTAATATATATATATATATATATATATATATATATATATATATATATATATATATATATATATATATATATATCCCTATGTTCTTGTTTCTCTATTATTGTCTTTGTCTTTGTAGTTTACTATTATATTTAGATTGCATTTCGTAACAAAAATAATGAAGGTCCAAATTAAACTATTAGACAGGCCCCTATTTTTAATGGAACGGTCCTGTAGAAGTTGCCCAAAAAAAGTCTCATCTAGCGGCGCCCCGCTGGGTATTTATAGAGGATTTGAAGGGACACATGCCGGAAAATTGGCATGAGCGTCATGTGCCCTCCATGCACTCGGTTACCAGGTTGGCGAAGGAGAAACGTACATGTGTAGGGGATAAGGATAAATCTGACTAACCAATTAATTATGGGGATCAATTTAATATGCAAAGTATATGTGATCGGGCTCTCTAACGAGTAGTCGGAACCGAGCATAGAAAAGATAGGCCAACGAAGCAATTATCCTCCAGGTCGGGCGGCCAAGCGCTGCGATCTGGTCGGTTAAGATCAGGAAATGGTCCGGGTCTCAAGGCGGTTCATACCCGACCAGGTCCGGGATACGTGGAGGGTCGTAGACCGGGGTATATTCCCTATCATAAGTTATGAAAGCCCCTTGTGCACAAAGTGTAGGGCAATAGGTGGGGACTAACGAGATGATTAGCAATTTACTTCCTCTAACGGTTCTTTGACATGGATTTTGGAATCTTAAGATTACTTTAGCGTAAATTGAGAAACCTAATGTATTTTTAAAAAATCAAATTCTCCGAGCCTACAATAATATTTTTTTTTTTAATGATCAAATAGGAAATTGAACTCTAATGAAAAAACTATTAGACTCTTAAATTGTAAAACGTTGTAGTTGAACACAGTAACTCCTCAATTTGATTCAATTAAATTGATAGCTTGTTAAATTGGTACAATTAGGTTAATTGATTAATACAAATTCTTACTACTGTTATGCACATATTTGAATCAAAATCATATGGTGTTGTGTTAATTGGAAGCTAAGTATGTGTTTATATGATTCATTTGTGTCATTAATGTGATTTTGAGGCATTGATTATAAAAGCATGTAAAATTAAGCTCAATTTGATGTGTTTTAAAGTCATGTTGGGAATAAGTGAATTTTAGAGTGAAGACTAAGCATCACGTTAACACTCATGACCATAACTGTCATCGTGGCAAACTCTGTTTTCATCTATCAACGTGAGGGCACCAAGGCGATCAGCTCCTCAACGTAGGGGAAAAACTCACGAGCTCAACTCCTCCACCAGCCTTGACGATCTCCTAGCACTCGACCGCAAGAGGGCACCTCCAAAACAAGAGTTATCGTTTCCAAAAGAAGTATTAGGGATCAAATCCACGACCTAAAGCTAGTAATTTGAATTTCAAAAATTACTAGAGACAATTATAGACTACTGTTTACTACAAATTCTCCCCGTCTTTCCCACAATCAATATGATTTCTAACTAGTCTCAAATTTCATTATAAAGACCATTTATCCCACCCAAATTCACCATTCCAAACTTTTAAATCTTACTCGTAAGTCTCAGGCTCCTCATCAGAATTATTTGGTTCTTTATTGTAATCCCAAGTTACTCAATTAATCATGTCTTCTTTTTTTTACAAATGACCATGGCATCTCAGAACATCAACCAAAACTGCATCCCCCCTCCACCCAAAACGACCCCCCCCCCCCCCTCCCTCCCCCAACACCCCTCATTTCACTTTTCTCGAACTATTTCTTCCTTATGTTTTGCCAAATGGGTCCCAAGCTTGTTTACAAGAAAAGGCCCACTAAAAATTTCCTAACTTGCTTAAATGGCCCCAAACTTCAAATCACCCCATCTACCTTAGCCCTTACCTCGAGCCCCATAAAGTGCCCAAAAAAAAAAAAAAAAAAAAAAAATGACCACCCACTTGATAGTAGTCTACCATAGTAACTTCAACCGTGGAGAGTTGATATTAACATCCATAAGTATTCACTAGATGGACATTTAACCCCCCCAAAAAAATGTCATTTAACCCACCACTCACTATCGCCATTTCTAATCTCTCAATTTCAGACTGTATCTATGCTATCTGATTTCTATTTTTATATCTAAAAAGAATCGATTTCATTCAAAGTTACTCTTTAATTTCTTCAAGAAAAAACATTGAGGTTTCATTTCAGACTTTAAAAAATAGGGTATTAAGGAAAAAACTCAAGGGCATGCAGTGCCCCACTGTAGATCCATCACGTACTATATATGGCATTAGGGTCAATTTTGAGAGTGAGAAAAAAATTGTGAGGTGAGGACATTCTCTTTTATCCAGACACTGCACTAAGCCGTAAGACTGTGTTCGTATGAGAATGAAAATATAAAGGATGAGAGCATGCAGCATAGTATACGGCAAATGGAGCCTCATTGTCTCAAACTTTGAGTATAGAGTTACTTCCATTTTTTGTTTTAGATTTATAAGCATCAGTCAACTTTTAGGGTGTGTTTGATTCGCACATAGGAATTGGAATCGAAATGGGTATCAAATACTTGGTAATGGTAATGGTAATGAGTTTTGGTGGAAGTATTTAGCATGTTTTGTAGTAGGGTGGAATGTGAATGGTTACTAACAGTAGTGCTTGAGAATGAATAACACTTATTTTATTTGGGTATGAGTTTTTCAATTGATGGGGACATGGGGTATTCGAAACCCATAGTAGTGTTCTAAAAACCTATCAAACAAACAACAACAAACACTTTCATACCCATTCCTATGGGCAAAATCCACCAACCAAACACACCCTTTGTCTTTTTTTTTTTTTTTTTCTTTTTTCTTTTTTCAGAGTATTTCTTTTGGTCATAGTATTATTGTGGCATGACTATTTTTTGTCATCTGAACAATTAAAATCATTAAATACAATGATATTTCAGTCTTAATTTATGGATTTAATTTTAAAAAACATCAAAATATAGCGGGTCAACGCACTTTATATACAAAAGATCGAAATGTCTTTGTATTTAACAACATTTCAACAATCTTGTTGACCGAAAACAAAAAAATAGTCATACCACACTAATACTATGACCAAAGGGAAATGTTTGATTAAAAATAATTAAAAATAGACTGTCAATTATAAATGTATGACAAAAAATGTATTTAAGTCATTGAGTATACTATACATCTACATGCGTAATGCGTTCTTGCGTATTTCTAAAAAGTGATCAAACTTGTTTAACATTCCATTTAGTTGAAGAAAATTATAATTGTATTCCCAATAAATTTTGAAGGCAAATAAATTATTTTGGTTGGTTTGAGAGAATTATAATTGCATATTTTCACAAAATTACAATCTCATGTTTCTTCTTAGTATTTTCAATAATTCCATGGTTTTTGGAAAAGAAAAAAAAAAATTACCATTCTATTTTCTAACCTAAAATTAATGTTTCATTTGTCTACTATAATAAGTATGGACATTTTGATATTTATAATACTTATTCAATTTCAATTCTTATGGATACCAAATATTGAAATTAAAATTTTCATTAATTATATCCCTACTACCCAAAACTATACAATTTAAATTCTCACACTATTCTTCTTCTCCCATGAAATTAAATTGCAAATTTTTTCCCTCCTAATACATTCCTAACAAATAAATGCGTTGTAAAGGTTTGTGTTCTAATCCCTAGGGCCCCCTATACATTTGCCTTTTCCCGAAATTATTGTACGCTAACATCCACAATGGGACGAATCCATACTACTTTCCTCAGTAAAATTTGAAGTGTATAGTGCAGCCGTCAGTGAGGTATATTATTGTCCTACTAGGTGGGGGTGTTTCAATGGTTATACTATGGACGTTTACTTCACGTTGCAAATCTTGAATTAAAAATTATGTGTCTACAATTAATGTATTATATGTTTGTAAATAAGTTAAAGACACGTAATTTGTAAGTATAAAAACATTTATAATATGTTAACTACAAGCAAGTAATATGTTAATTGCATTAACATATTATGTGTCTGTAGTTAACATATATATTATGTGCCTTAACTTCAATTTATTTATAAGCACATATATTAAATGCATATATATATGAATATTATTTTAAACCAAGGTTGACA